CAGCACCCCAGAGGGACCTTCAAAGGTGAGAGGATGGGAGGCCACCTGTGATGAGGTGACGGCCCAGGCACAGAGCACAACCCCTTTGAGATAGCACACACATGTAAGTTACTATCTCATCTCACTTCTACCAGGGAAAGAGGACTCAGTCATCACCATCACTGAATTTGAACTTGGATGTGGCAGTGATATTTGTGCTTGTGAGTGTAAAGGACATGTGAAATCTCTCCTGGAACCTCCCTAGGCTTATACTGGGAGAGTCCTTTCCTTCAAGCATGTGCTTGTGGCTCACCTTCACCAGGCAGTGTGCCAGGTTCCCCAGGACGGTGTGGTCCACTTGTGCCTGAGAAGGTCACCAGTGTGTGGAGTGGTATTCAGGGTTCCTGCACAGGATTGCATGGGTTGAGTTGAACCTTGCTGTGGGCTTAACCTGGAGTTATTGGTAGGACAGAGCCCTCATCTAAAATTTTAGGTTTGGAAGATTCTTACAAAATGCAATTTTAAGCCACGTTACCACACTTTTTGCCCATCTCTACTTTTCCTTTAATTTCTTTTTCCTTACTTGTTATCATACCTCAAACTTACCCTCCCCTTTCCTATATTTTTCTTTCAGTTTCTTTTCTTTTCTGTATAATTTTAAAAAGTATGTGTGAGCAGATGATAAACAACTTATTTCATTGCTTTTTCATAGGTGTGAGGTATATGAATAATTTCATATTTATCTGCTTTTACAAAACTGATGAAGGCAGACCAAATCTGGGAGAATATTTTGATGTTTGGAGAGAGGTAAATGGGAGCTGTAAAAATTTTATTCACAAAACAGACATTTTTCAAATTTTAATGAGGAAATACATTTCCATTCTTAAGTTCAAAGCTGAATAAGGAATAGATGTAGTTATATTTGCCAGATTTTACATTTATGAAAAGCCAAGATAGACAGAAATAAAAGTGTATTTCAATGGGGCTGGGGATCTAGCTCAGTGGTTTCGCCACCTGCTTTGCAAGCGGAAGGACCCGAGTTTGATCCCCAGTACTGGAAGGACCCGAGTTTGATCCCCAGTACCAAAAAAAAAAAAAAGTGTATTTCAACATATATGATGCAGCAGCTTTTACATAAATGTTAAAATGAGTCAGTTATCATCAGAATTATTTGTTGTTTATATTTGCTTTCAAATTTTAATGAACACAAATGCTTCATAGGAGGTAAAGTCCAATACCTGAAAAAATAACTCCATTTGTCCATTAATGAATCTAACCACAGAACCATCATGGGAAAAAGTCACTTTTTAAACTAAATAATAATCTTGAAAGATATTTTTTAAAAGAACTTCCATTGCTGGGAGATGCAGTAGAGATATTTTTCTCTATTTCCCATTTGAATAGCAACTAAAACCCCATGGACACTGAGTAGGAAACAAACATTAGAACTCTGCAAGGCAGAGAGAGAAGTCAGAGTGGTGCAGATTGGTGGGAACCAAAAAGTGATGGATGGTGAACACTCCAGGTTTTCTTTTGGGCTCATATATCCTAAACTTGGTACTAAAGAGGCCAGTAGCCTGCAAACCCCAGTGAGCTTCAAAAAGCCCCAGGAAAATCCACAGGACCAGAAAAGGGGCAGCTTGGCCTAACCCAACTGAAGACCTTTAGACATAAATGTTCTCTAAACACACACCTTGGAAACCCTGGGTGCACCCCTCCTTGCATTGAGGTCTGAAAGAGAGGTCTGCACTTGGACCATCACAAGTTGTAGCAAGATGCCCACCAGCCACCCAACTATGATTGCATCAAAGTCAGGAGGATCTGGGACCTTCATCCTATGGGTGATAATGACCCCTCCTACCTTGAGCATTGTCTTCTGGGAGCCCTGACTTCCTACCCCATCCAGCAGTAAGGAGGTACCTTTTCCCCCATTCTGCATTGCATTCAGATTCATCCAGGGAGCATTAGGACTTTTCTCCCCACCATGCAGTAGCAGGCTACCCTTCTACCCCATAGTGCCATAGGAGGACACATGGTGTCACAGAACGACATGTAGGAAGTCATAAATAGGTCCCTCTGTGCTTCTCTGCTGGCATGGCTGAGGAGGTCTAGTGTGCAGATCTCCCAACAGTGAAACACTTTCTGGAAATAAAATAATCCCCACAGGTAGTGGAGGCCAAGGGGTACACTGGGTGCTCGCTCACTAGTGAGTGATGACTGACTCACAACAGCAGGGCCAAACGAGGCTGCAGGGCCACAAGATTTACACCAGATGAGGTTTCTGTTCCACTAATGCAATGATGATATGGATGCTACAATTATTTCACAAGGGCTTGAAATAAAAATTCTTAACATAAATGAAAGTATTAGCCAAAAGAAGATGTGAAGAAGAACAAAATGGATGTCACTAAAAATTACAGTAACTGAAATGAAAAACTCAGTGGATGAAATCACAACAGTTAAGAAAGACAGAGGAAAATCTATTTGATTTGAAGATAGAGAAATAGATATTAGGATTAAAAACCGAGAAAATAAATGGGATGGAGTGGGACCCAGAGCCTCAGGAACATGTACATCTAGAATTAAAGATCTAATATTTGGATCATTGAAGTATCAGGAGAGAAGGAATCATCAACATTAACAGACTTTGATAAGCTGTACATGTAACAACATGTAAAGCAACTAGTAAAAATTATAGAAAAATGTACATTCAAAGACACTGCAGATAAATAAAAATGGAATTTGAAAAATAAATCTTCAAATAATCCACAGGAAGGGAGGGAAAAGCAGACATAGAAACACAAAGAGAATAAACAGAAACAAAAACAAAACCACAAACTGAACAGATTTAAGCTTCAATAATAAACTTAAAGGATCTAATATAAAAATTAAAGGACACAGATTGGCATATTGATTAG